GATTGTGTTTTAATGAAAATGCTTGAAGTTTTTAATTGCATCTTATGAGTTTCAATTAAGTCTTTTCACTAAAGCTGTTATAATTTCACTTACGTTTTAAATTCTTTGGCTTATATGTTATTTGTTTAAAGGTAAAATTTGATTTGAATTTTTAACTGAAGTATTTTATTGTTTCACTTACGTTTTTGATTCTTTAACTAGAATACTCTTTATTTAAGATACAAGATTCTAAATAGAATTTACGTTTTTTCCTTGCTTTGGGGAGGGGCCAGAATTTTCGGGTGAACTATTATAATTAAAATACACTGAAATGGTTTATCGGCTAATTATGGATACAGAAAAGCAAGGATTTTTGTGGAAGAGAGATTTCAATGTTCTTCCTTCTGAAGGAGTGACATTGAAGTTGATGGAATTCCTCTTCTGTTATGTTCGCTTTTCTTTAAATTTCTTTAATTTTTTTGAATTTGGGTATTGCTTGTTTGAAAAGTTTTTTTGCTTTCAAACAAGTTTGAAAGCTTGTTTGAAAACTTTATTATATATATATATAGCTTGGGTGCGACCTATTTAAACCAAACAGGGTGGTGCACTATCATATATTATAGCAGTCCTATATACAAAATTTCAACGTTCTGAGGCTACTTGTTTTAGAGTTATGCGAGATATATACATACGAATGTACAGACGTCACGGAAAAAATCTCTTCTGAATCCATTTTAAATCAATTTTATAATTCATTTTGGGAAAACGAGTCCTTTATTCTGTCTCTACGTACAGGTGCCACGCAAAAACTCGTTAAATTGCATTTGATAAGGGTCAAAATGGATATTTTCGTTGAAATATGATACCCGAATTTTTTCGTTACAATAATTCCTTTACTTCGTAGAAGGAAGTAAAAAGTGAATGACAAAATAAAATGAAAATTAAAACTTCTAATGAAACTTCAGACCGTAAGATAAAGCCAAAATATGTTTTTGGCTGCAAAATATGTGATTTAAAAAATCAGAAATTTCAGATAGATATCAAAGAACAATATAATAATTCTCCTTTCTTATTTATATACATTTTGTTTTACACATGCAGGTACAAGAGGAAAATACTGTAAAATATAAACACTACAATCAGGCATCAATCTTAAAAGAAGTAAAAACAGATTTGATTATCATAGATAATTCTTAGATTAAGCGCATTGAACAATATTCTTATCTTTTCTTCCCTTACGCAATTTAGTGTAATTGAAAGCAGCATGTGTTTACAGAAATACATAAATAAAGTATTAAATACTTTATCAATTTGCATTTATGAATCCAAAACAGATAAATAACTAATGGTTTATTTATAACTTCCAGGATATATATGCATAAAAAAGAATCATATCTGCTTGAAATTCATTTATTCCAAAGTTGTAGAGAAAAGAAAACAAATATGCTTTCTAGTTTCCCTTAATTTTTATTAAATATCTGAAAAATTGTCGTTTCAATTATTTTTCTCAAGATAAATGTAAAATAAAGAAAATGTATAAAACATTTTGGACAATGAATTATCTAAGCATACAAATATTAAACATTTTTAAAAGAACATTCTAATATTTTAATAGTTTCTCCTGCAGTGCACTTTTTTGAAATTAATGCAAGACTGTAAATTCTTGACTAGACTGAAGAAGATTTTTCTCATCTGAACCTCTAAGTTTGGATAATTCATAGAACTTTGTTTTGTGAAACGCGTAATTTCCTATTTGAGAAGTTATCACCTGTAAAGCGTTTACTTATTTTGCAACAAACTCAGCTATATGCTAAACCAGTCTGAATAATATTTATTTAGAACTGTGGCTTGCAGTGTCAGTCGAGAAAAAAAAATCTTGGCATAAGATCTAGTGTGGGAGTATAAGAAATTGAGCAAAACTACAACTGGAAATTTTTGAGTAGGATACACATATTAAATCTATCGGTTACTATAAAATCCCGAACAATAGTATTTCCCATTTCCAACCGCTATCTCACCATAAAATAAATGCACACTTAAGTGTGAAAGCTTAAGGATAACTCATCTTTATAGATTAACCGCAAAACGCTTCCTTTTCTCCTCACAGCTATTTTCCATATACAGGCTGTTGGGAAAGTTTAAGACATTTTAGAACTTGGCATTCCCTTTAACATTTTCTCTAAATTCTTGCTGTATTGGTATATAAAGAGAAGCTATGAAGCAAGACAAAAGAGCATTCTTGTTAAACACTTTCTTTTAAACATGAGCTCTAGCAGGCCTTTAAGGAAGCTTTTCAGTTGTGGCTGACTGCTTGAAATTTCAATTCAAAGCTCTTAGGTCAAGCCACTGTATCAACATAACTTTCTACCAGACTATCGTGAGAAATGAAATCTAAGCTATTGATTTATGCGCTTTTATGATGAAATGTCTGAAACAGTAACCTACGTTTCTCGATGTTGCTGCATGTTTGGTGAGATTCTTTGGAAGAAATCCTTCAGATTTGTTTCCTCTACAGAAATAGTAATCTGCAACTAAAACATCGCATTAAGAAATTCTTGCTCCGCAGCGTGTTCAATCCACGTAAGACAGCTCAAGGTCACGTACGGGTTGAATTATCAGCCAGAAATCGCTAGACCTGGTTTGGGAATTTCTTCATATCTTCGGATACCCTAGATCAGAGGTTCTCAACCTTTTGACTAACGTGTACCATTTAAACAAATACTCAAAAACTTCAGTACCATCAGTATATTTTACAATGACTATTTTTCAATTTCTCAATAGAAAAATTTTAAAAAATAAATATTTAGCCATTTGAAAGACTTATTGGATATTTGAATTAAATATGCACACATTAAAAATTGACTTTTAATTAACAAAATTGAAGTTATTATACTTTTATTCTAAAATTTAGTGTGAAATTTGGGCCTGTTTAAGAGAGATCAACTTCTTTATGCCTGGTTTCACAGCTTGATTCAAAACTATTTTAAGGTATTCGGGGATTGTTTTGGCTCCTAAAGCTTCACAATGAATGAAGTAATGAGTAAGTTTAGTTTCAGGTGCGACTTTTCTTTATTTGAGAAATAACATCGGAATATTTTCCTGTTGAAGCCCGAGTTCCGTCACTGCATACGGTAATGCACTTATTCAAGGGAATATTGTTAATAACTTTGAAAATAATTACAATTACTTTGAAAATAATGTAATAAAATTGTCAATTACTTTAAAATTTCATTTGCAGTTGCTCTATCATGAAGAGATGCACAAAATAAATACCTTTCGGCAATTCGTGTATCTTCTTAGAAACGTATGTAAATTAATAATTGAACAAAGTTCGTTATGTCAGTACTTTCATTCAACTGCAGTGCGAAATACTCACTGTGTTTTATTTTTTGAACAAGTGTCTCCTTTATGGAATTTGCCATTTCATGAATTCTTCGACTCACTGTATCATTTTATAACGGAATGTCATTAAATTCATTAGCCGCTTTTTCATAGAATGATGTTAAAACGATATCTTTAGCTGCTGGTAATATAAAATATTCTTCAATACTGTGAGCCTGACCAGTCCCAGCAAATCTTAGGCTTTCTAGGTAACTAGCTTCCAAAGTGTTTTCACTTGAAGTAACAAAACATTTCATTACTCGTTTACTATATTTGAACTACGGTAATTTCCTTTTAAAATACTCTTCAGATTTATCCTTTAAATTCGCATGCTGAGATTCAAGATGTCCGTTAAGAAACGGTGGTTTCATACTTACATAGTTCACCGCAAACATTACATTGAGGTTGAAAGTCCATTTCCTCTCAATTGCAAATAATCCCAAATGATAAATAACTGTAATTTTATTTTCTATAAAATGTTTCTTTTCTTTTTAGTATTCTTAGTGGTAGTAGATTGTCCTGGATCCATCACCTGTGAATCATCGCTTTGCCATTTAGTCGATCCTAACCATCTTTGCATTTTGAAAAATCTAGGTTTGTTTTATTATTTTTTCACAAATATTTAAATGCACAATATATTATGAGTTCTTCAAAAACAAACGACGATATTCTCAAATCGAGTAGAAACGTAAGGAATACAAAGCAACAAGAAGACAAAATACCTACTGTTAGAGACAGCAAATCGACGCAAAAAATTATTCTAACTAAAAATATGGCAATTACAGCCCGGAAGTGGTGGCCAAATAAAATGTAGAAAAGCTAATAAATCTATCAACTCTAAAAGAATTAATGAGATATTATTATATTTTTAAAGGCACTTAATTTTATGTCCTATTAAATGCAACATCCATTACTATCACTTCTTTTGAAAACATCATTTATGACAAAATTTTTAATGTTTTTGGCTTAAAGAATATTTGTAAAAAAAAAAAAAAAAAAAAAAAAAAAAAAAAAAAGGATTACTTCGCTGAAGTCTATGAGTGGCTACTGACCTTGAACAAAGCTCAGATCGCATACATTTAAGAGAGTTAAAGAAAAACTTAAACAGGTTGTTGGGGAATTTAATTTTTGAATTGCATAGTTAAAAATAATTTGATTCTTTTTGTACCATCTATTTTCCTCTTGCGTACCACCGGTTGAGAATAGCTGCCCTAGATCATTCATCAGCGGCTTGATTTGCGTCCTGCATAGGGCTTCTTCTACTAAGTTAAGAAAGAATGACAAATAGTCTTTTCCCATTTCATCTTTTAAACACAAATGATAGTTTTCATGACGTTTTTGTATATGATTGTTTTTACACTCTTGATACAGAGGGATTTTGCAATATTTATATCTATCCTATTTCTTTATTATCAGAATGAGGGTGATATTTAAATTTGTTTTGAATTTATTATTGCCACCATTTTATTGCATCTTGTAGCACCTAATTTGAATTTCAATTTACAGAGCTTAATTTTTTCTTATTTAAGTATTTTTTTTTGTGTGTGTATATGTGACCAATGGCCAATAACAATTACTCAATGCTGTACGTTTTCATAAATAAGTGACTTAAAATCAGTAATAAATTGAACTATACTTACGAGCAAGACTAAAATTACAGGGCACATAAAGATGTAATCGTAACTGTCTCTGCTCTGCCAAGGACACCTATTTACAAAAAAAGAAGAAAAAAGGAAATGAAACTATTTTTGTTAAGAAAAATATATATGTATATACTATATGTAATATAAAAAACTGAGTAAGCTTCTTAAATTCTTCTGTTCAGTTTAACAAATTATTACATTTATAATTAGAAATAATAATTTTATTTTCTTAATGAATAAAATTTAGCGATTCATTGTAATCAATGACAAATGCTTTAAAGGAATTATGATTATGGTTTTAAAGGAAAATCATTTTACTTAGAATTTAATTATTTTACTTAGAATAAAATAATTTTTGAATAAGAAACTAAAATTTGCTGATGAAAGAAGTCAGTGTTTCTAGTTAATTACATAATACAATTCTAAAATTCTATAAATAAAGAATTCTAAAATATAAATTTCATTCTGATAATTAAATAGTTTATCTTCTTTACTATTATTATTTTACATTCTTTAGTAGACTATATTAGAAAGCTAATTAATAGTTCAATGGAGACAATATACCTTTTTAGAATTAAGCGGAAAGAACAGCACAGTGTACAGAATAAAACATTTAGTTGCATTCAAAGCTAAATTATGGCGTGAAGGGAGTGTGCAGCAATATAACTTGCTAAAAAATTAGCAATTTTGTCACAGAATTGTGACCAAAGGTACAAAGTACCACAGAAACTATGAAAACGTGAAAACTTTCTTAGCAGCATAATAATAAGGCTGAGGTGATATACTAATGCAGTAAAGAAATTTTCAAACTAAAGAAAGAAGTACAGAAAAACAGTTGTGTTACTGTTGTCTGTCATAATTTGCTTTAAATTTGGTAATGGAAGTTGATGAGCGATCGATAGGTGCATAAGGAGAATTTGCTTTGTACTAAAAACGTGTATAAGTCATAAAGGTTTAGTTAAATTACGTGTCCTTGTCACTAGGATCGTGGGGAAGAGTCTACGATTATTCGCTGGTCTTCTTACAACTGTAAAGGCAAAATCCGAGGAAGGGTTAGAAAACCCTTTTATTCTATTCAAAGAATAATAATATAGATGGCCCCTCTCGGGCTTCCAGTAAAGCCTCCCCTTGGGCTTTAATTTAAGATAGAAAATAAGAACCTAACTTAATTCTGAGTACCTAAAACTTATCCGAAGCTGTACAGAAATAACTAAGCAAGTTGGCCCGTAATTAAACCTCACCGACGAATACTAGCGGGCACATAAGACTACGGCCGCGCGTAGTAAGATAGTCAACCACGTTGTCCGAAGGCAGAACACGCTCTACTGAGAACTTCTGAGCTCTTCTACGGAAGTTACTGAACTTCCTATTAAATATTAGTTCTACCTCATTTACATAAAACGTGAGTGGAAAAAATAATTTAAAGGAAGATGTTTCAAAATTAAAAATAACTATTAGAAAATTAAAATAATCCCCACATCTATCAATACGTGCAGTATATATGAAAAAATAACACGTATGATATGCATAATTTTATTGAAATCAGTTTCAAGAAAGAATTAGTCAATTCAAAATCGATCAAAGAATCACAGTTTTATTTGAAAATGCTTTAATAAGATATTGCCAGTAAAAGTAAAATCAAAAATGAAAGGATAAAATTATTTCTTTATTATTTAGATTTCAGCACATATTACTGAAAACAAAGTAATCAATCAAAATTATTAGTCCAAAGCGATTTTGTCCCTGAGAGACTATTGTTTCCGTTTTGCGATTTTGCGTCAAATCACCCTGAATGTCCGTTTCACTTTTCAAACTGTCGCCATCAAATATTATCGCCCTGTATTATATTTGAAGTATTTAAATAATGAAGAATCTGCATAAATGTCTGTAGGTTTCTCATATTGTGATAAAACAACGGTACCTAGAGCCATTTAAGTTTGAATAAAGTAATCCTACTGCGAATATGGGTATCTGGAAGCCCACATTTTAAATTTGGAATTAGTTTTATTATCGTGTAGAAGCCAACGTATAAACTTCTGTCTGTATACTGGAGTAGCAGGAAACTACACAGGAGAAGGGTTCACGTACCCTTTATGAACTCTTTAAAATTTACAATGCGTCAAATCGCCGCTAACAAACTTCGCCTCTACTTGGGCGGTAACTGAAAGTCAGTTAATTGAAACTAAAAGTTGAAATATTAACACGTGAGCCTACAGACCTCAGCGAGATCCCGAACTTTAACCTCCTTCTAAACTAGTGGCAGCAAAGCAATGCAGTTAAGCCACTTGAACCAGCAATAAGCAAACGTACCTACGGCAGAGACGGCAGCTAGAGCCTAAATCTCTCTTTCTTCTACCGAAACTCGGCTTATAACTACTTCCTTCAAAATGGAAATTTGCATTCGTTCACGAGCGCTACAACATTTAACTATTCTGGCACTGACAATTAGGGAAAAAGGCTTATAGGAAAGTTTCAAATAAAAATTTAAATTATTAGTTAAAATAAATATAAATCCCTACAATCGATTTCATATTTTGTAAACCTCTAACGAATTTTTGATTAACAAACTCAAGGATTTTAAAGCGAGTAACGGCAACGTTGTACAGAAAAAAACAACTGTGTATCGGAAATTCTAAAGATATGCTCAATTTAAAATTATTTTGCGATATTGCTATTGAACTGAATTTTATGGTTTAATGGTTTAAGTGCGAAGAACATGATATTTAATAAATAAAGGTTAACATGTTAAGAAACATCCTTTGCACGTAATTTAAATCTGAAACCTTTTTCCTTTAATATAAAATAATACCGGAAAAAAGTCTGAAAACAGTATTAATTGTATTTGAGAAAATGGTAAACAGAAAAGTGTTGCAATGATATTAATTTATAAACTAATTTCGTAATGACATTTTATCTTCCGTAAATAAATTTCTTTGGAAAAGCTTCTTCTAGCATAAAAATATGATCATGTATTTGCCATTGCCATTTTTATGATTTTGGGAAAGGTATATGGAATCGAGGAAATTCGACAAGCTGTATAAATACTCTAGTAGTTTAAAACACCTGAAAGCTTATTTTCTGCTTCCTACCCTTTAATATTATATAAAAAGAACAACCGAAATCAAAGTAATAAAAAAGGTGCTGATTTTATTAGGCAGCAACATGTTCCTACGTTTACTGAGATTGATGCAAGAAAGATAATTTTGCCATTTACTAAATCTGGTATGATTTTTAACGAGTGTTAATGATGAACTATATAAGCTAAATTATTAGTCAAAAGAGCAGGTTTTACTATTTTAATAAATTTTCTGATTATTTATAATAAATATCGACTTCCGCAGAAGAATGGTTTTCATTCAGTGTATTAATAATTTTGTTTTACCTGTTAGCTAATTAATCACTGACTTAAAGTTAACTTTTAAAATGCGTTATTTCACGTAATTTATCGATCAAATCGAATACATCTTATGCAGCTTTCCCTTGTAACACCATTTCGCTACATCTAGATAGAAAATTTCACACCTTTCTCAGAAAGTTAAAACTACTGCATGAAAAAATTGACCATTGTCTGTTTTATATTCACATAGAATAAAAATTTGATGTGTACAACACATGACTTCCTTGTACGGAATATTAAATTATACGCATTTTTTCTTGCATTTCATTTAAACTTATTCGATTGAATTAAATCTACTTCGTCGACAGAGCATAAACAACAATAGAATAAATGCATTCTTTAAAATTCACTCTTTTTGTGTACCATAGCGACACTCTGGCGCTAGGTTCACTTCACAGCATAATATTTCGTTCATATTATAACTCAGAATGCACAAAATTTATATTATTCAAAGAATTATCTAATCGTTGCCACATGTTCTATTCAAATACTGTAATAAAGCTAAAACGATGCATAAAAGAAATTAAGCAAACAAAACAAAAAAGAAACAGTTTTCACAGACGATTGAGTATTTCTCATTCAGTTAATTCAGTTCTCACTTCGCGACAATGCGAAAATACATAAAAACTCAAAATATATGTATTAAAAATTAGAAAGTAAATCTTAAACGCTTATTTCATCGAAAAAATTTCAGAAAGAATTAAGCATGATTTAATTTGCAATAATAAATGAAGGCGTTATCTTTGTTTTTGCGAAGCTAAGTTTCTCTAGATTGGCAACAAATCCACTAGTCTGCTGTTTCAAATGTAAACAAGAAATGGCCACCATCAAAACAATTATTAGGCCTAGCGGCACTTAAACAACTTTAAAATTGTTACTAATTCTAAAAATATTGCATACAGATTTACTAAAGGCATAAAAACCTTAACCGGAAGATAAGAACAACATAATTCTATCATTTTTAAAGCAAAAAATGTACAATTTGCAAACAGATAAGAGTAAAGAAACTGAGATCACTGAGCCGGGTAACAGAGTGGATATATCTATAAATATATTTATATATATTATGTGCGGCCGATTGCAACCAAAATACGAGGTGCATATCTACATGTTATAGTAGTCCTATATACAAAATTTCAACGTTCTGCTGAGGCTAGTCGTTTTTGAGTTATGCAAGATACTTACGTACGTACGTACGTACATAAGTTCGTACAGATGCCACGAAAAGTTTTTTTTCAGAATTCATTTTAAAGCAGTTTTATAATTTTTTGGAGGAAAAGAGTCTTTTATTCTGTCCTTATGCACAGATATCACGCGAAAACATCGTTAAATTGCATTCGATTGCGGTCAAAATTGATATTTTCGTTGAAATATGCTGCCTGAAACATTTCGCGATTACAATAATTCCCTTTTACTTTGTACAAGGAAGTAGTACATAAAAAAACTCAAAATATCGGTATTAAAAATTACGAATTAAATCTTAAACACTTATTTCCTCGAAAAAACTACAAAATAGGATTAAGCATGATTTTATTCGCAATAATAAATGAAAGCGTTATTTTTGTAGTTGCGAAGCTTAGTCTCATTAGATTGGTAAAAAATCTACTTTTTGTTGTTTCAAATGTAAACGAATATGTCCACCATGTTATTTAAAACTTAACCGCACA